AATTTGGTACAAAATTCAAAATGGTAAACATTTTTCAATTGACATACAAAAAAGTGGACATTTTTGAAAATGTCCCATTAATAAATGGTTATGCCACTTTGTTAGAAGGAGGTTGATAGACGAGGTGACATAATGAGTGTTGATAAAATATGATTAAATGAAAAAGTTGATTGTGTTTAAAACATTCTAATGATAAAGTGCCATTATATTACCCATTACGTCAAGAATTGTGTCACTGTAACATGATTCATTAATAAATGGGTAATGAACACAAAACGATCTCATCATTCGCACATATTGCACAAATCGTTTCTTATCATTTCAAATTTGACAATTGCACCCTCATTTCAACATTTTCTTGCGGAGTTTGTCACTTCCATCTCCTTCCGTCAAATATGAGTAATCAATACAAAATATCCATATCATTTGCCTTCATTGTGTAAAAGATCCTTACTATCTATTTTCTCCATTAAAGCATTGTAAGATTGCTAATTAATTTTTTTCCAATACTTGAATAGAGAAAATAGATGATAATGTCATTTTGCACGATATGAATGTTTTGCACAATGAAAGCAAATGATAGGGCGTTTTGCATCAATTACCCATATTTGATGGAAGGAATTGATGGAATAAGATGGAAAGGGCTAACTCCGTAAGAAAATGTTGAAATGAAGGTGTAAATGTCAAATTTGAAATGATAAGAACTACATAATGAGTGCAAACGATAAGAACGTTTTATGCTAATTACTTTTGAAAAATCATTGCTTCAATGGACCAAAAATGACATGCTACTTCCTCTCAAAGATTTGTTAACGAAATGCTAACAAAATTTCTAATTGGCAAGATATAGAGTAAATAATGTTTATACAAAGAGGATTCGACACCCGCCTAATAAGTTAACTTTTCGGAACGAAATTCCAATACTCAAAACTTAATAAAATTTAAACTTCAGTTTATCTGCATATAGATCAAGTTGAATTCTAGCAAGCTAACAAAAAAAAAAAAAATTGTAAG